GGAACATTGCTGGCGAGGCCTTGGAAGCTTTTATTCTCTAGCAGGAGAGGTAGACCATGTTCGAGTCTGTTCTGTTGCTAATAACAGAAAGTGCCTGCGTCTGGATAATTTAGGAGAACAGAGATTTGTCTAGTCTACAACCTCGAGGTCCAAGGCCCAGGGGCCACAATCGGCAGGGTCCTGCCGAGTCCTCACAAGAGCGATTATAAACCCACTGGGACTCAACCGCAGGGACCCAGCCTAATGACCTTAATCCTTAACCTCTTCCAAAGACTCAACGTTTTTAACACCATGTTCTGATTCTTAATATCTTCTTAATCCTGTTACAGACAAATCTCCACACGTGAATTTGGGGGGACGTCAAAACCAGAGCAGACTACAAGTAGACAAATGAGCTCAGGTGGTAGTAGGGCTGCCTCTGGCTTTCTGACTGGCAGAGTCGGGGCTGATTCTCTGGGGATGATGAAGGGAAATAATGTAAATGATCACTACTTGTTTTCTCTTGGGTGGAGCTGCACTTTTCTATGTGGCAAATAGAGGCAAATTTTCCTCAATTTAGTTCCATCTTCACATTTCACAATCATTTCTCCCAGATTCTGGCAACGGTGGGGTGTTGGAAGCAGTAGTGTGAGGTTCAGAGGGTAGTCTTCAGGGACTTGAGGCAAATGCCACTGTACTGGAACCAAGTATTTGTGTATCAAAAACTAGATTGTGCTAAGCATCCTCTTAATAATTTTACTGTTTATCTTACTTAAAAAGCAAAGCTAGTTAGGAAATTAAAAATGTAATTGCAGCAAATCGCCACCCCCACCAGAATGACTTTGTGTCTATTCTGTGCTCATTCAGGTCTCCCAAATAGCCTAGGAAACACTGTTCTTATTACAGCAGAGAAACCACAGGCCAAAGATGAAATACCTATTCAAAGACCACTGTAATCAGTTGGGAGGGCTGGGATTTGAACCCAGAAAGCTTAACCCCAGAGGGTTCACTTGTCATTCGTATGCCACAGACCTGTTTCAATACAATCTTTAAGACTGATGATTTCTCTCAAGATGCTCCTTTGCTGTGTTTCAGGTGTTGCTGATCTTTGCCAAGGAGGATAGTCAGAGTGATGGCTTCTGGTGGGCCTGTGACAGGGCTGGTTACCGATGCAACATCGCTCGGACTCCAGAGTCAGCCCTGGAATGCTTTCTCGACAAGCATCATGAAATTATTGTGATCGATCACAGACAGACCCGGAACTTCGATGCAGAGGCAGTGTGCAGGTACCTTTCCAATTTAACATGCTTAACTAGTGTCTGCGTACCAGCTTCAAGGGAACATCATTTATGGATGTCTTCAGTACATCCCAGATCTTTCTAAAATGTGTTGGCGTGTCTAAGCAATACGTCCAGATTTCTATGGTGAAAGCTATAGTTATCTCCAGTGGCTTTATCTTGCCTTTCTTATTTTTTCACATCGATTTGTGCTGAATTTAGAGGTGTGAGTTGGGTTCCCCTGAAAACTTCAGTGCCTCCCTCTCCCTGAGTATTGCTCATAGAAAACATTAAAATGCAGTTCTTATTACACAGATCTGGTTGGATTTCAACCTTCGTTATTCTGACCCAAAATGAGCATCGGAAATGTGTGAAATATACGTTTCCCTGCCTGTCATAGACGGGTAGATCCTACAGCAGGCTTCTGAGCTACAGAGGAAAGGCAGCTGCTCCTCCACCACAAGAAGCCTTCCAGGGACCCAAACCCCTGCTTGTTTACAGAAATGCTGTGCTCTGGGGAGGAAACACATGTCTGTTCATAAATAAATGCACAGTCATAAGAGTTAGCTCTGGATGAACTGATCCATTTAGCAGAAGTGGAATGCTTTGAAGCTAGACAGGAAGAGGTCACTAATTAAATGCTAGACTAGGACAGAGTCCAATTGCATATAGAACTGGAATTTTCTTGAATATTAATAAGTGAAATGGTAGGAAAATGGCTTCTAAGAACCTTTGATAGCCTACTGAGAAACTAATGGATTAAGAGAAAGTTGTGTTTTTGTTTTAGTTTTTGTTTTTTAATCACAGGCATTGCTTTGGTATCCTTTGATGATTTTTAAGCTTCCCAAAGAAGAACTTGTCTTAAGTAACTATGTTAAAATGCTTTAATGGTCTCAACATATCATGTCTTTATATTTTGCTGTTCAATAATGTGTGTAATTATACATATAATATATCATGACATATTTGGATGCTATCGCTAATATTTTTGTTTTTAAATGGTTTTAAGGGTAGAATTGAGTCCTTTAAACTAAATGTGTCTGTTTTTTTCTCACATGGCTTTATAGTAGAAATGCCACAGTTCTTTGTATATACAAATACTGTAAGACAAGCTTCAGTTGTTTAAAAAAAAAATCAATAGGAAGAAACCTTTTAATTCCTATAAAGGCCCAGGTTAGCAGATCAACTTCACGTCTCCTTTGATATAAAGCACTATAGCTCTGTTTCCTAACAAGCGGCCCTCTGTCCAGTGCACGGAGGGACAATGGGGGGTCTGTGCAGGTCAGAAGCCAGGTGTGCATACCTGGCGATGTGTTTACTAACCGCTAACTGGTCAGGCTGAGGGTGGCCAGATTCCCCAGTGCTTGACTACCAGCACACGTCCCTTGGGAGATGAGTGGGGGACACTCTCCTGGATGATGTGCATTGCATATTATCATCTCTGGCCTAGCTCCCTGACTTTCCAGTGGACTGACCTTAGCCTAACAAGCTTCCTTGGACCCCAGCCCAACATACCCTCAGCTTGTCCTTAGTGGTCTCAGTCAGCAGGAGGTCCAGGTCCCTCTCACCACACAAGTTCTTTGGGAGGGATGAGAGGGAGAGGTAAGAAGCAGAAAGCAACCCCAGAGATGGAGGCCAGTCCCAGGGAGTGCATGCTCCACCCAGTGACGTTCATGAAGTATTTGCCTCTTGCCCAAAAGGAATGTAAACTAGTACAGTGACTGTGTAAATTAGTATGGAAGTTCTTCAAAAAACGGGCTCGCTCCTAGCATGGAGCCCAGCAGTAACCATGACCTTTCCTGGGATGAGGAGGCTGAGTGAGAAGGAAGGTGAGAAGCACATCGCGTTGCCCTAGAGCTTGGAACATACCCCTGAAACACTGTATTGTTTTCATTAGGTGCTAACTGGCATTTCTGTTGAGTATCCAGTGGGTTTCTAAGTATATGTGGGATCTTTAAAAGTTCATGACCAATGTATATAGCAATAAAACTATGCATGGATTTCAGATTTTCTTTTTTAGCAAAGAATTATTTACTTACTTTTATTCATTATTATTATTATTATTTTTATAGAGAGCACATATACTCATCAGAGAAAGACAGAGGGAGAGAGAGGGGCAAAGTAAGAAAGCAAGCCCCCAGGTCCGGAGCACGAACCATGGTCAACCATGTTCTGTTCCAGAGCTTTAATCAGCATGCCACCTGCAGTCCCCCAAATTTTCTTCACACCAAAAATAAACTTACACTGTACTTCCACTTTCTCAGAATCTTTTTGAAGTCATCTCACTAAACAAATGTAGCTCCACTTTAGCAGGACCTGCTCTGTGGGGCGGCTGTCTAGGAAGTAGTCTGTGCCAGCCTTGGAGGGGTACTGGCCTATGCTCCCCTCCCCACCGTGAACGAAGGCAGACATTCTCTCCAAAGGAACTTGTTCAAATAGCACTTATTCTCTAGGGGAAACTTCACTTACCAGGAATACAGCAGCTCATCATTTTCTTGAGCCTTCCACCCACATAGCGTGAGGTCTAGGAACAGGACATGGAGAAAGTACATTTTTTGAGAAAGGTGATGGGATTTTGGAGCAATCTGAGCTGACTGTCCCTGGGGGAGTGGTAGAACAATCACGATAAAATGCAGAGGAGGAATGCCCATAGCTGCAGAGAAAAACAAAGTCCTGCTGTTTGTCAAATCACTCAGGGGCATACAAGCAGAAGAAAACAGGCTCAGCATGGCTCATCCTCAGGAAACACACAGTTCAAAACCACAGTAAGATAGCACCTCACTCCAGATAGAATGGCCATTATCAAAAAGACAAAATATGACAAATGTTGGTGAGGATGAGGTGAGAAGGGGACTCATTCATATTAATGAGAGGAATGTAAACTAGTACAGTGACTGTGTACATTAGTATGAAAGTGCTTCAAAAAACTAAACGTAGAACTGCCGTGTGATCCACCAGTCCCACTGTTAGGCATGTGTATCCACAGTGAAGGAAATCAGTGTGTCCAAGACACTCCCTTGTGTATTGGGGGAGCACTATTCATGTAGGTAAGATATGGAATCAGCCCAAGTGTCCATCAACAGATGAATAAAGAAATGGCATACACACATGCACGTGCACATGCACACACACGGAATATTATGCAACCATGAAAAAGAATGAAATTCTGCCTTTGTAGGCAACATGCCTGAAGGACATGGTGTTAAGTGAAATAAGCCAAGCACAGAAGGATAAATACCACACGTTCTCACTCACAAGAGGAATGCAGAAAAGTAGACCTGCCTCATAGAGTGGAGAGTGGCATGGTGGTACCCAGAGATTGGGGAGGGGAGCTCAGGCAGTGTGGACAAAGTTACAGTTAAGAGGAGTCCATTCTGTTGCATGGTAGAGTGATTATAGTTTAAAATAATATATATTTCAAAATAGCTAAAAGGGAAGATTTTTAATGTTCTCATCACAAAGTAATAACAAAAGCTTGGGAGGGAGGATGTGCTAATTATCTGATTTGATTGTTACATTTTGTATCCATGTACTGAAAAGGTCAAGTCTACTGCGAAATGTGCACAGTTATTATGTGTCAATTTAAAACAACAACTCAGGAGCAATTTTGTTCTTTGAAATAATAGTTCTATCCAAGGGACCCCAAAATAAGCAGAGGGCAGACCAAGGGGATAGGTCAAAATAAGCATGCTGAGTTATAGTGAAATTCAAGTACATGACCTTTTATTAATAGTTCATCCAGCTGATAAATAGGCAAGACATATCTGGGACACAGAAATGGATGATTATCTGTTAATGAGAACATGTATGGTCTCTTCACCTGGACTGGTATGAAGTATATTCATGTTGGGTAAATTCGCTTTGCAAGTAGTGATGATGTATGGGACTAAATGTATAAAATATTTTTTTAAAAAAAGAAATGAAAACACTTTGATAGTCAGAAAAAAAAAAATCAACTTACAACCCCGTGAGCAGAATAGAACCAAATCTGAGCTACAGCATGGAATATCCCTTAAGAAAATTTGTGGACCTAAAAATTCCATATTCTTATGTGCTGTGATCCTGCCGAATTCCTGGGGAGCAGAATAAACCATACACAGGTGGTCGCAGTACAACAAAGCGTTACACAGAGGCGGTTACTGTTCGGCAGTGTTTCCTAGCCTGGTTGATGACCGAGTTGATTGAGGTATTTAAGCACAACAACAGCACCGCTGAAAAATGTGGGCCAGTCTTTATCGGCTCTAACCTGCATATGCATATCCAGCTGCAAGCAAGCGCTTCGATTTTATTATAAGGTCAGCTTTCTGAACTATCTACTATTTTAAAGGAAGAAAAGATCCAACCCAGTTAGCTTCCTCAGGTATATGATAACTAGAGGATTACAGGACTGCCAATTTTCTTGCAGTGTGGAATTTCAATCAGAAAACATGGAATTGATGTGGAATTGCCGATTTTTGAAGTGGAAAATTGGCAAGTCTATCCTATTGGATAATTGCCAGGGAGCTGAAAAAAATAAAGATAAAAAGAAGAGATTGTCCTAATTCACAAGGGCATCTTTCTTCGTTGTCTTCCATGTGTTTTGAGACTTTCTTTAGAGAAAGATTTTGATTTTGTGCCATTTTCAATGTGAAGTTTCCCATTCATTTAATGTAACAAAGCCCAGATCACCTTGTTTGACTTGGAGCCTTCTCATTGCAGGTCGATCCGGGCCACAAATCCCTCGGAGCACACGGTGATCCTTGCGGTGGTTTCACAAGCGTAAGCTCACCCCCATCCCCAGCCGGAGGTTGGACTGTCCATTCTGAATCATTTGTCTGATATAATCCAGCTTCTGAGCTTGCAGAGTAGCAGCATGTCTGGGGCCCCAGAACACCAAATTTAAGCCTTGCTTTGGGGGTTGTTTTTTCCACAAGTTTTTGGAAGTATTTAGCATTTTTTTTTTCTAATACACATAATTGTTGTTAGCACATACACTCACACTTCAGGAGAAAATGTTTACTCATCATATGCCAGAAGTAAAAGAATATCCGAGGAGGATGAGGTCTGGAGAGAACATTGTTTCAGATTATCTTTCTTTTTTGATGAAAAGAGATGGGGAAATGCTTATTTTTCACTTAAGAAGAGACAGACTGTAATGTGAGAGCCAAAGGGCACTAAATCCACGGCAGAAAAAGATAGCAAAGTTGATGTTGGGACTAGTGGCTAGAAGCAGGCCACTAGCGATTACGCCCAGGTCAGAAGGCAAAAAGAGGGATGGACCTGTAGGTAAGAGACTGGGGGTGAGAAACTGCTCAGCTGGGTTTACTGTCTGAAATGGTCAGCCCTTCAAGTGAAAGAACCAGCTGGGAAAAAATGTTTTTGCAAGCTTCGATGATTGGAATCTTTGCAAGTAACAGAAATTTGCTGTAGTTTCTTAATGGCTGTCATTAGCTTCAGAGAGAACCAGGCCTTAATTAGAACCTGGAACCTGTTGGACTTGGCCCCAGTGTGGCATTTGGCTCAGATTCTGCAACAAAGGAGCTGACAAGCTAGCAACAAACACAAGAAAGTGTAGGGTTCCCCCAGGCAAGTCTGCCCAGAGGAGACTTGAAATACTTCATTCCAAAGTCGTCTTGGTACACAGGAAATGATAGCTATGATGTGTTGCTCTTACCGATGACTTCAGCTTCCATGCCGCTCCTTGAGTCTCTTCCTGGGAGCCGAGTCTCTTTCCTTTGCTTGATACCTATCATGTGCTGTGTCCAAAGAAGGTGAAGAAATTGTCCCCAATTGGCTCTTTAAACGTGCCCATCCTGCTGGGAAATGACACCCCAGGGGGGATCGACGTTGTGCTCTGCTTTTCTTCCTCATTTAAGGGGTATGCAGCCCCATGTTACTTGCTAGCTGTTTGTCTCAGGGACATTGTTTCTCATCATGGGGATAATCCAGTGATGGCATGTCTTCATGATAAGACAACCCACACCCCAGCAGGCACTCAAACTGAAGTCCGAAGATCCAACTGTAGGCTGTCTAGGACACCTTCTCATGAAATGAGTGACAATGACCCAGTGCTGTCTTCTCTTCTTTCCTCTTTTTTAGAGGTTTTGCCTTAGGGCATGTGCAGTCGCCAGAGAAAGAGAGAGAGACAGCGAGAGTGAGAGAGAAAGTGAGAAATCACACCCCCCCGGGGGGGAGGAGGATGGCCACGTTCAGTCCCTTCTCTAATCTCCTCCCGGGATCTTGGGCAGGCACACATGCCTGCCTGGTGTGATTTTCCAGCCACCCGGTCTGGGACTCTAACTGCAGTCAGCCATGTGGGAGTCTAGTGATGTAACTACTAGGCCGTCCGCTGGCCCCCTCTTCCTCCCTTCTGACTGCATTGCTTTTCTCTTTTCCCATTTGGCTGTGGGGGCCCTGAAGCCTGTAAGACTGGTTGTGTTCCTTACACTAAGAACTGGACCCAGCTAGATCATGATCGAGTCCTGTTTCTAGAAGGCCTGAGAATAGCAGACCTGGAAGAGCAGAGCACCAGACGTGTCCCTTTGTGGGACTGCTCCACATGTTTGCTCCAACCCCAAAGGCAGGCAGAGCTGGAAAAGGCTGCCCATGTACCAGGGATGGCGCTCTGCACAGCTGGGGTTTCTCTGCTCTGTTTGTTCTTTTTCACGTCTGGAAGGCAGATATGGGTTCTGCATCCCTGAGGGCAGGCTCACCCCGTGGGCATGGGCCGGTCAGGAAGCCACTCTCAGAGCTCACGCAAGTGGCCTCATTGCTCTCTCTCCACGTTCCAGTGTGAGGCATCCTGGTTTGTAGCTGCTGAGTGACCACATTTTCTGCTTTGCTGCAGATCGGAGGACCACGAAGAGGCCTCAGTCCTTCCTCTTCTCCATGCAGGCTTCAACAGGGTACGTACACGACCAACCAGCACCATGCCAGGTGCAGGCACCTCAGCCCTGACTCTTCCCATGACAGCAAAGCAAAACAGCCAGGCGGTTCCCTAGGGAACCGGGCCCCAGGACTGAGAGGGAAAGGAAGTAACTGTTCTCATGCTCCTCTAACTTTCTCTCTCAGAACTTACTATATCTTAGCAACAAATACGTAATGACATGAAAACACATCTTATTATATCAGATCAAAATTCTGTAATCCTAGGTAATCTAATTTAAATCAGTCCGGCCAGTTAGATTCAATTCATGTGTGTGCTTATGTATAAATAACTCCAGCAAATTGGTACCCAGGGCCCTGTTCACCAGGGCCCGGCCAGGACTTATCCCTAGGGACAGGCTTATGATGACTATAACATCCTGTGAACTCCTGGTTGAAGCTATTAACCCCGGCCAAGGAAAATTCTTTGAGTGGCAACTATATGAGTAACATTGATGTTCATCCTGAACGATTGATTATTCCAAGGAAACTTATCAATAGACTAAATAACTCAAAGCAGAAATTTGATTGGAAGCAAGGTTGTATACATGCAAATGGGAAGAAAATGATGAAATCAATTTAACAGAGAAAAAATTGGGCAAGGAAAACGTGATCAAAATATGAAGTTTTAAAAGAAATACATTTCATAATTTTAAAAGAAAATGAGTTCTTAAAGAGAAATTGTGGTGGACCTTTGTGTGTTTCAATTTTCTTATAACAACCATATATATTAGTTCTATCTTTAAAAAAAAAAGTTTCCCTTTCAAGAAAAGTAGGGTGCCAATTCATAGTTGAGTTATGTAACTTCTGCTGGTAATCTAAAGTCAAGCAAATGATCTATAGAATCCTACAAACTCCTGGTTTAAACTATAAACATAAGTAAAGAAAAATTGAATGACAACTGTATGAGTAACGGTGATATGCAGCTTGAAAACTAAGATTGATTACTCCAAGTAGACTTACCAAGCAACTAAATCACTAGGCTTACCCAGTATTTTCAAAGTCTTGTGATAGGAGTAATCTGAATCTCAAATAGATGGTATGATACATTCCTTCCAAAATAGGATACTGCCTGTGCCTTGTGAATTATGAAAATTTGTTTGGATGCCTTGAGTAATGGTGCTTTGCTGTAGTGGGCTTAAAAATATACATGTAAAAAAAAATGTGTGTGTGTGTGTCCCTTTTGGTTGTGAACCACAGAGAAGCAGAAACTACCTTTGTGATGCTACTTTGTGATGAAGTGCATTTTGGTGTACTTCAGTGTGAAAGGGCAGTACTATATAAACAGTTCAAGGTAGCATGGCGACTTGCAATGTGTAATAGAAATGGATATTTCTAGCTTGCAATGTTCCTAGCTAGAGTGTTCCTAACACTTTCCTCTTGTCTGTTGTCTCCTTGCAAAGGTTGGCATATGGTTCTGAAAGCTATTCTTATATGCTGCATCTTAATGAGAACTCATAAGACAATGCTTCTGACTTTAGGAATGAAGAGTTGAAGAAGGAAAGTCAGCAAAGGAGCCGTAGCTGAGACTTATTCTCCCTACTCATTCATTTTCTTTTCTTTTTCTTTTTCTTTTTTTTAGGTTTTTGCCATAGGGCACACACATTTGCTATAGAGAAGAGAGACAGAGGGAAACAGAGAGCAGGGAAGTGAGAAATTACTCCTCAGGGAAGATGGCCACACTGCCATCTCTTCTCCTCCGTTCTCCTCTCAGGATTTTGAGAATGCATGCACACACACCCCACATGATTTTCAAGCCACCAGGTCCAGGACATGAACCACAGTTGGTCATGCGGAATTCCAGCTGCCCTAACCACCACACCATCTGCTGGCCCTGCCCATTCATTTTCTAAGAAAAAGAACTCTAAAATTATTCACAGGCTTCATAGATCTTCTGTGTAGTATTAACCACTCTAGTCCAACAATGTTCTTTTATTGAAGTCAGGACCTGGTGGAGTATGAGGACGTAAGATTTCCTCATTATCTAGGGGATGGTTGGAAAATAGCGGGGACACACTATGGGTTTTATCGATAAAGACCCACGTAAGTGTTATGCAGTGTCATTTTGGAATGCAACTTTTGACTCAGTGAACCCGGCTCCAGTTGCTTGAAATTGGTCTTGTTTGAAGTGATAGTCTCTTGTCTGAAGGGCTGAGAGTGTTCATCTGCTCACAGAAAAGCTTGGTAGAAACAATAGACGCTCTTTGAGTAACAAAATGTCCATTGTTTTTTTTTTTTTACTCTTTTTGTAACCTGTCCATGCTGCCCTGGAAGATTTTGTTTCTCTCTGTTTAGTTATGTCACTGATTTTGTAGTCAGCCAGGGTGATTGGAGCGTGAAAAATGGACCCTGTCAGGAACCACCTGGTGTTCCTCATGCCCTGTCTGATGGAGACCATCTACCAGTTAGGTCAGGGTGCCCTGGTATCTTGGGCTCTTCCAAGGGAAGCACATTGCACCTGCAGTGGCTTTCCCTGAGTTACTGTGGCATGAGATCTGCCAAGGCTGAACTCCAGGTGGCCATTCTCCTTTTTGGGACAAAATCCTATCTTTGGCATCTCTCTACCCAAACACCTTTCCAAATATGTAGAAATTCTTGCCTTCTGTGAGGTTGTTTCCTATCTTAGAGTTGTTTCAATTGTATTAAATCACCTGCTGAAACCCGGCCATTGTGTTGCTAGCTAATTGGCCAATGCTTCGGTCTATGGTCTCTGAGTGGAAATCCAGGAACAAGTTGTGCCATCCAGTATCCTACAGCATCCCCCTTGACACCTCTGGAGCTCTGCACACACAGCTGACTACACCAAAGCATAGTTCATGCTAAGCCTCTTAGAGACCAGCATCTGAGCAAAGGGCAGTTGCAGCTCTTCTTATATCAATGTTCATGTGCTCTTTTGCTACTTGAAGTGATGCTTTCTCAACTCAACAAGTATTTACAGAGCTCTTACTACATTCATGCAATATCCTAGGCATAAATGTAGGATTTGGTTCTCTGTAGAGTGGCTTCCTGTGCAGTAGGAAGTGGGTTGCTGCAATGTATTATTTGTTGGACCTGGTTCCAGGTGATTTACTTCATCCTCCTCTGCATATAAAGGATTTGATATTTACTCCACTTTTGCAGAGGAAGAAATGGGCTCAAAACAGCAAAAGAGCTTCCCAGAGCTCACGCTCATGGACCAAGTCAAGACACAGTGAGCTCATGGACCAAGTCAAGACACAAATAAATGCACGTGGTTGAATTTCAAACTTTAGGTTGGTTCCACCAAAATACTATTTCCCAAGCTCTTCCACAGAACACTAGTGTTCCCAAAACTCTTAGTAAGTGCTCCATTATAAAAGGCTTCTGTGGTCATATCAGTTTGAATCCATGAAGATGGGATTCCTTCTCCCTCCCTGGGGAATTGGTGGTGCACATTAGCAACCTTGCATATCAGCATATTAAATGCCCTGATAAGTCTTACAGTACAGATACCTGCTAACTCTGCTTATCCCAACATTTTCAAAACATGTTTTTTCATAGTTTTTGTTGTTGTTGTTGTTGCGGATCATCAGCTAACAACTCCCAGAGCTGTTAAAAGCTGTTACTTATAACTATACTTTAACTTTGCTTCGTAAATCAAAGAGACAGTATTCCCCCTCTGTGTCAGCCCTTCTCAGCCTCCACATGAACTAGTAGGGGACCAGAGGTCCAGAGAGAAGCCTTCCACTCACTCCAGATGTATGGAAGTGTATATGTGTGTGTGTGTGTGTGTGTGTGTAAGACAGGAAGGGGAAAGGGGACTGATTCTTTCTCTGGCCAACTTGGCTGAAAGAATCTCAGAAACGTACCTTCTGTTAGGGCCTGGTATTCTCCCCCTCTATTTGTCGAGCCATCTGAGAGGCTAAAAAATGTGACGGGGTGGTTTGGAATACTTTGGAATTCTGGTTATCTTTCTGTTTAATAGTTTATTAGTCATATGCTCAGATATTTTTGCATGATGTATATTTATACCTTATTTTTTTTCTTATTTTAGTGAAAGAGAGAATACAAGGGGAGATAGAGAGAGAGAAATATTTTGATGAGGTCTTGCCCATTGTGATCTTCTGCCAAGCCCTCCCAGTTAGCTAGGATTACAGGTGTGCATTAGCATACCTGGCTGATAGATGGGTCAAGGATCCAGCCCAGGCCTTCCACGTGGCCCCAGACTCTTGCAGTGGCATCCCGTCACTTGGACTACGATGGTTGGACTGTTTTTTTCTTTTTAATTATTTATTTAATTTTATTTATTAAAATTTTTAAAAACTTGGCACACGGCATGCATGCTCACCAGAGAGGGAATGAGAGAGAAAGTAAGCCACAGGGTCCAGACTCGAACTGCAGTTGGCTCTACGGGAGTCTAGCACCCTAACCACCATGCTGCTTACCAGCCCCTGGACCTTTTTGAAAAAAATAAATGAAGATGTAAGACATATTGCCCATTCCTAAGTAGAATTGTCCTTAAATATGTTCCTTTGCTATCTCTTGCTTGCTTTTTTGTCTGATTTCATTATTTCTCATTAAGCATTGACATGTTCATGTGAGGAAGTGCTCAGTTTTGTGTATTCAATGAGTAATAATAATAATATATATATATATAATATTAAGACACATAAATGTAAAAATCATATATAAGGAATGTAAAAAAGTCACTTCAGGACTGTCATGTAAAGAAGATCCTGCTCTCTTTCAGACTCTGGGCTTGAGCAACTCGGACCTAGGATGCGTGGGTGCTTAATGGTTCTTCATAAGCACATGAAACTTTTTAGAGTTGAGATGAAACTAAAATTTACCATTTTAGAGTGAACAATTTAGTGACATTTAGCACATTCGCAGTGTTGTGCAACCACTACCTTTATCTAGTTCTAAAACATTTTCATTAGCCCGCAGTGAAAACCCTGTTCCATTACACTCCCTTTCCCGCTCCACCAGGCCTGACCACAGGCCATTTGTACTCCAGCTCTGTGGATTGACCTCGTCTGGGTGTTTCATACCAATAGACTCATACAATAGGTGATGACTCATGTCTGGATTTCTTTCATGTAGTGCTTGTCTAAGGCTCATGCATGTTGTAGCACGTATCAGTATTTCCTTCCTGTGTTATGACTGAACGATATTCCATTGTATGCACACACCACAATTTGTGCATCCATTCCTCTGTGATGCACATTCGGGTGGTTTCTATCTTTGAGCTATTGTAGAAAATGCTGCTATGAACATGTATGGACAAGTGTTTGAATACCATACCACTTTTCAGTTTTTAGAGGTATATACTGAGGAATATAATTACTGAGTCATAGGATAATTGTGTTTAACTATTTGAGAAACTCCCACACTAGTTTGCTTATTAACTAGATCATTTTGTATTCCTACCAGCAACGTGCAAGGGTTCCAGTTTCTCCATGTCCTCACCAACACTTGTTATTTTCGTTTTTTTAACATTTTACCAATCCTGGTGGGTATGAGGCAGCATCTCATTGTGCTTTTGGTATGTATTTCCAGAATGACTGACGATGCTGAGAATCTTTTCATGGCCTTGTTAGTCATGTATGGAAACATGTATGGAAGCATTTCTGTATTTTCTTTTGAGGAATGCCTGATCAAGCCCTCTTTCAAGGAATGCCTGATCAACCCTTTGCCCATTTTTAAATTGAGTTGTTTCTCATTTGTTGATGAGTTTATTGAGCTTTAAACATCTATCCCATGAAGCTCTGCCTTAGATACTCAGAAAATTAGGAAGGAAGCAAAGAGCAGCCTCTTCCTTTAGAAGAGATCCTTCACAGTGTGGTGATGCTGAACAGGTTGCATGTTGGGTTTTAGGTGATATTTTTATTCATGCAGTGAAGCAACACGTTCGAGTAATTACGCAATTGGGGACACTTTGTGTGCCCTTGCATGTTTATTTTCCTGTGAGTCTTCGTAATGAAATTTATCTCACCTCTGTTATGAACAGAGTGAAGTGTGCAGTGTTACCTGGCCTGTTGTTTCCCATACATTGAGACGAGCATTTGCAATACCTTGACAACTGTTTTATTCCATCTCATCTTACCCACTAGTTGTCTTATGTAACAGTTACCTGGGGACAGGAACAACGTATGTCTCTCTTTTTGACTCTCTAAGAAGTAATCATATATGTCTTATGTGTTATCTTTGCTTTCTTTTAGAGATTTATGGAGAACAGCAGCATAATTGCTTGCTATAATGAGCTGATTCAAATAGAGCATGGAGAAGTTCGCTCACAATTCAAATTACGGTATGTAACAAAATAAGATAGCAACACCATGTTCACAGTTCTTCATAAAATCTTATCTGTCAGCATGCTGCTGGTCACAGGTTCCTAGCTGAATCCCAGGGATTTCGAAGCCATTAAACGGATAATGGCAGTTGGTAAACAGAAGTATCTAAACCGGGTCTCCTTGATATAATGAAATAACTTGGAAGCATTTCTTCTTTTGACAGTATTTTCCACTATTCACAGCAGTTTACAAATTATAGCGTAGGAAAAGTAATGTTTAATTTTTGTACCACTAAATCAAGATTAAGAATAGCCTTTGAGGATTGTTTTCTACTTCCTACTTTCAACATTTATAAATTCCTACTGGGAATATTATGTATAGGGGAAACCTATGGATATATTTATTATCCTAACCATAATAAATGCTATATAACTACAATAACAACTTTGTGAAGTCTGTTTGTGGTCTCAAAATGCCTGAAGTATCTCCAGGAAACTGATCGGAAGTCTCTTTACAGGTAGACGAAAAGTCTCAAAATGGTCTGGAAAATGCATATTACTAAAAAAAAGTGCATTTATTGAGACCAGCAGTTAGCATAATGGCTATGTCACTGGACTCCCATGTAGTCGACTGTGGTTTGAGTCACGGATCCGGTGGCTTAACACTCATGCCGGGCGCGTGTGCGTGCAGGCCCAAGATCCTGAGAGGAGAATGGAGGAGAAGGGATTGTGGCGTGGCCATCCCCCCTGAGGGGTGATTTCTCGCTTTCTGTCTCTCTCTCTCTGTCTGTCTGGCAAGCACACACACCCTATAGCAAAAACCTCTCCAAAAAAAAGAAAGAAAAGAAAAGAAAAGAAAAAGTGCATTTATTTTATTTATTTTTGCACCCCCCAAAAATTGTACTTTTAAAAAAAAATTTTTTTTTCCATAGGATGCTTTTATGCCCCTGAAAGAGACAGACAGGGAAAGAGAAAGAAAATGAGAAATCACTGCCCAGTGAGGATGAACATTCCACAGTCCCTTTTCCTCCACTTTCCTCTTGGGATTTTGGGCATGCGTGCACACATGCCCAGTGTGGTTTTCAAGCTGCAGGGTCTGAGATTTGAACAGAGCAGTCGGCATGTGGGATCCAGCCACCTTAACCTCCACATCATCTGCTAATCCTAAACATGTACTTTCATCCCATTTTCCCATGAACCTTTGCAGTACCTTGGTATAGCACTTTGAGAGCTGTCTTCTCACTGGTGCTCAGCCCTGGGATGCGGTTCTCTTGCTGTTGGACTGTTGGCTGAATGCACGGCTGTGGGATGCTCTGTTTCTGAGCCCTCTTGGAATATCAGGATCCAAGCTCCTGTCCGGTCTTGCTCAGGCTTGCTTAGAGATGCATCTGTGCCCTGATATTTTCACCCACCCTCCTCCAGCCCAAGGGGAAGAGACTCTTTGCCAGCCCTTTTCCTCTGGGAGAGCAAGCCCCAAGCAGCTTCAGGCTATAAGATGCTGAGAAAGTTCCTTATGAGAGGCATCTTTCCCTGACCTCTATGAGGTCACTGATAGTTTCAGGCTCCGTGCAAAATGTGTAAGATATCATCTCCCTGTGATGATTATACATCTTATCTTGATTACTCATTTTGTATTCAAAGATGACAAAAAACCTTTTTAAACCTATTCCTCCTCTGTCCTTGGGAAACAGAAATGGATTGGCGTCAACCCACAGAAGCAGGTTTTCCTAGGCTATACCGTCTTAGGGAAGTCTCTTTTTGGTGGATAGAGAACCCTAAGAAATAAAGGGGGATGGTGGGGATAAATAGTCACTTTCTGAGGTGTGTGGAAAGTATTTAAAAAGAACCTTAAACCACTGGGAAGTCAAATATTTGGGGAATTCAGGTAACAGCCTTTGGTGAGGACTCTTATCACAGACTTTTTGAATGTATGAATTAAATCCCATGGTTTGGTTTGGTTTTATTTTAGACAAGATCTGTCTATTGTCATCTGCCTACCGCAGCTTCCCAGCCGGGACTACATCCAGATTGCCACCATGCCCACTGCCCATGGTTTCTTTTTATCTATCTATTTATCTGTCTATCTACACACACACACACACACACACACACACACACACATAAATATATATACTTTTTTTTAGTTTCAGAGCACGTCATAGAATTTTTCTCGAAAACCACATTGCTTTGACTTCAGTAATTTATGCTTTTTAATAATGTATGTTAATTGTTTTTATTCCTAAAGGTCTCTACTTTTTAATTGAGGGGTAAGCTTAGTACTTTTATTTTGGATAAATAGGAAAGGGGGACTTTGGTGTGTTTTAATTGAGTATTATCCACAATAAAATCTGAATAGCCCAGCACCTTCTTGGTTTGATAAGCAGTTCCCTCATTTTAAAGCTGTGCATCTGTTCTCTTAGGAAGCATTCAATGTGACAGCACACGTTAGGTGCCAGGGAGAGATGTGGTACAGGTTCTTCAGTGTGCTTTGGGCATTGGGAGGCTACTCAGGGCTGTCAGGGCACCTTGTCCATGTTGAATGGGCAAAGACAGACTTGGCAATTTGACATAGACCACCCAGCCAACACAAAGGCATGAATAAAAGGCTTTAGGTTATTGTGCTGAGGCCATCTGCTTCGAGTCAGGGCATGAAAACTTCTCCAAGTATCATCAGATTCAGTGCATTGCAAGTTTCTAAGTACCTAATGGCAAGTAAGTACTAAACCTTCTCATTCCACACTGCCCAGGACTGGTTGGGGAATCGGACTGGTTGTTGTGGTTATAGTGAAAAGGCTCAAAATCTTTATACCAATCAGTGTGAAGCTGGCGAATGGACTTGACTCAGGAAGGCGGTGGCCCCTGGGAGGAGGGTTTGCTTTGCTTACAGAACCTCTTACTTTCTGCACCAGCCTCAGCTGCTGCTTGTGGGCTGGTTCTGCCTTAAGCTTATCCAAGTTGTCCCCCTTTGGGGGTGTTTTCATGCAAGCACTCACACATGTTAGCTCTCCTCAGGTATATTTAATCTGGGCCCAGCAGATGGGGGAACAACGACCCATACCATGTCCTTTCTCCAGCTCTGTAGGGCATTCAAGGACATCTAGAGCATCTACCTGCACCCCAGGACAGGCAAGCAACCTTGCCATTTGTTGCAGACTAGGAAAATGAGGCTCTTTATTATACAATGCCAGAATAATTATAGTCTAATTATGTAATACTTTCCCCTACAATTCCGCCCTCGGCTGCAGCTAAATATGTAACATTATTGTCATTCTGCAAGGACAGCCAGTACTGCAGGATGATGTCGTGTTAAGGGTGGTCACTTTTGTCCAGGTCTCCATGTGTGTGACCATATTTACTTAACCAAGAAAGAAGAAGGGTCATTTGATCTGACCAAACAAAAAAATGTGATCTAATTTTAAGATTCCATTATGTATAATAACTTCTAAAGAGGTGAGACCTAAGTCACATTTCTCTGAATATTTGATGAGTTACTCTTTTGAACAGAATTCATGAAATGGAGAGTGACTAGAATAATCTGGGCTAAATGATGAGCATTTATACCTTCTAATGTTCTTATGCCTCTTTATCATGAAAAGACATATTCTATGTAAAACAAAGATAATGAGTTAGCTACTATCAAGAATCTAAACTGATCATTTTATACTAACTCAGTACCAGCTTAATTATTTCAATCATGAGTCAGTCTAGGAGTTACACCCAAATCTTCATGTTTATCTTACTCCAAATCTTCAGGTAGTAGCAGTCTTCGATTTCAGAGGAAAAAAAATCCAAGTTTTCAATGGGCAAAATTCTGTATTCCATGGAATATTACATCTCTTGGTATTAACAGACATTCGTAGAGCACGTTATCGTCATCTAGGTTTGTGACACAGCCATTGTGTCACAGGAGTGGAAACCAAGCTGCAAAGGCTTAAAGTATGAGTACCTGGTCCCAGCAGGTGGCAGAGTGGTTGGGATCCCACATGGCCAACTGTAGTTCTAGTCCCAGACCCAGTGGTTTGAAAATCATTCTGAGCATGAGTGCATGCATGCCTAAAATCCCAAGAGGAGAAGATAGTCTGGTGTGGCCATCCCCCCTGAGGGATCATTTCTCACTTTGTCTCTGTATCTCTCTAGAGAGCACATGCACCCTATAGCAAGACCTTAAAAAAAAAAAAGTAATGAGCTCCCTACAACACAGTTACCTAGGAACACGTGGAAAACAGCTTTCAAGTCCTGAAACTCTTGCTTCATCCCCACTCCCCACTCATCTTCTGTCCCTGCTGGGATGTAGACTGTATAGAATCTCCTCTTTACAAGCCACCACCTTGCCCTACCCCTGCCCCAGGCAGCCTCAGCATGTGTGTGTGTGCGTATGTGTGTGTGTCTGATGTTTTAGTCGAGTTTAGAGTACTTTTGGAAGGGACTTTGGCCATCATGTAATCCAACTGTCTTAGCCACAATTAACAGAAGAAAACTCTGAGAGCTAGAGAGGCTCTTGACATGACCATAGCTGCCGAGCACATTGGCGGCAGCTCTGGCAAATCCCGGTGTCCGACATTTCAGGGCAGTGCTCTCCATATTGACATCCAAACCCTATGTTTTTAGACTTTCTACCTGGATCCCTGTAATATTTGCCTTTTCCTTTGAGCCTTCAAATGCTTTAAGAAGGGGCACAGGAAGTGGTTACAGGGCCAATAGTTCATGGGTTTTGATGTGGAAGTTACCTTTCCCTTGTGTTTCTTTTTGCCAACTTTCTAACTTCTTCACCTGAACGATGCAGAAATAAAGGTGTTGGTTACCAAGAACAGAAAATGAATAGAGCTAAAGTTCTTCTGCCTGAAAAGTATGAATAATTAATACAAGCAATTAAGTTTCCAAACTCCAGTGACATGACTCAAATTGATTACCTCATTTTGCTGCAGGTTTATTTAAATAGAACCATCAAGCAAAAGAGGTTGAAAGCCCACATAAGCGATGCAGTCCGGCAGTGTTTGTCACGGGGGAATAAGACTACACTGTTTCTACTGACATCCTTTGGCTTCAACTGTTGATAAGAATTTGCTTCATTCTATTGACTTACACTTAAAGAGTTTATACCTTGTGGATAATCATAAAACGAATGTTTAATGGGTACATTTTGGAGGTCAGTTCTAAGATGCATGTATGAAGACAAGCTCTTTCATTGACAAAAACAATAATCCTCTAAAGTGCCTGTTTATATTAGTTGAGACATCCAGGTATTATACTTTAGAGAAAATACTTAGGTAGGAAAGAATTTTTTTTCCTTTTTTTTTTTTTTTTTTTAGGTTTTTACCATATGGCATGTGCCTTTGCCAGACAAAGATAGGGAAAGTGAGAAATCACCCCCAGGTTTGGCCATGCCTCAATCCTTTCTCCTCCATTCTCCTCTTGGAATTTTGGTATGCACGTACATGCACCCAGCATGAGTTTCAAGCCACTGTTCAGGATTTGAACCACCATCAGCCATGTGGGAGTCCAGTGCTTTAACCTTTCTGTCACCTGCTGACCCCCTTTATTTTCTGATTTTAAATGATCCTATTATCAAATGCAGTGATGTAATAGAACAGTATATAGTTCAAATTAGGTGAACTGGAGCAACTTAAGAAAATATGCTGTATCCCTCAGGAATTTCAGCGGTGTTAGATTGATTTTCTCTCTACTCAGCTAAGCCATATAGTAATTACTTGTTCTGTCACCCACTGATATCTTCATCTCTGCAACTATGGGAACACCATCTTCAGTGGGCCAAAATCCTTCACTCTTAAGCAGGTTACCTCGCTATTATTGAATACAATTCTTGGCTTGACATTTCAGGTATACTCTTGAGAAAAGTTAGGTTATGATTCATTTTAGTTTTCACCAACGGCTTTTGAAAACCTTGGAGAACAAAGAAATATTACTCTGTGATCTTACAAATAATAACTGGTACCATGTGTGGAATTCTTATATTGTTCCAAGCTCTTTGAGAAATAGCTCACATAAACTGTTTCGGTCCTAACAGAAACCTGTTTTATTATCCTCATTTGATAGACAAGGAAACCAAAGGCCAGTGAAGACAAAAGTTGCTCGGGATCTCATTTCTGGAAAAATACAGAAGCAGCTTGTACCCCTTCCTTTCTGCCTTCTTCCCTAAGAACAGATCCAAACAGGGTGGCAAATTAAACTGCCCTTAGGAGTGGAAAAAAATAACATTTTAAGAATTTGTTTTAAAAGAGGAAACATCGGTCTAGTAAATCAACTTTTTTTGTTGTTTATAATGAGTAAGAAAGCTGTTGTCAGGATTCTTTGGATAGTAGTAGGAATACAAAGCTCTAGCTGTTGGGCAGTAAATAGCTTACTGTATTTGGAGTTGCTCTTGCTTTGGGAGTTAGTTAAAATTATCACTGAGAAAGAGAGAGCCTGATTTCAGTGTTACAGGGAAGGTCGCTAAGAAAAGCCCTCACCTGGGGTGCCACATAGGGTCAATGGTGAGGTGACAGAAATTCTGCCCTATTTACTCCTTTTCCTGGCAGTTGGTATGGCTGGAAGCAGAGTAGTATTACAAAAGTAAGAAAGGAGAAAAAAATGTTTCTGCGACTGTTGCAAAAAGTCAGACTACTTCAGGTCCAATTTGGGCTTACTTAGGGTTCTCCTGATTTATGGGTACTTGACTTTTTCGTGATCACAATTGTGAAGGAAACAGAAGACTTACGAGACAGTCTCTGCATCTTGATTCTCTTGTGTCAGCATGGTGGTTTCATTTAGCACACACGTAGTCCGTTCCACTTCTCTGTGTATTGTATACACAAAGATATATATTATGGCTTATGCATTTAGTTTGAAAGACTACTTTTTTCTCAACATATTAATAACCAACTTAGTCTCTTCAAGGTACTAAAACAAAATGCCTCAAACTGGGTAATTTATAAACAGCAGAAGTTTGTTGCTCACAGTTCTGAAATCTGGGAAGTTCAACATCAATGCGCCAGCAGGTTCAATGTCTGAAGACTCCTTCCTCAGAGATGGTGTTTTCTGTATGTCTTCACATGTGGGAGGGATAGGGTAGCTTGCTCAAGGCTCTTTTGCAAGGGCTCTAATCCCGTTCATGAGGGTGGGGGCCTTGTGACTTAATCATTTTCCAATGGCCTCCCAACTCTTAATCCTGTTACATTGGGCATTAGGTTCCAAACAGGGGGAGGACACCAACATTCAGACTGTATTAATAATATACTAATAATTAATTAATAGGGTTTTAATAAGTCTGGGGTCTGTTTACTTTGTTAAATTAATAGTTGAAATGTCACAGTTTTTGTAGAAAAACTAACATCAATCCTTTATACCTTTCAGGGCCTGTAATTCAGTGTTTACAGCATTAGATCACTGTCATGAAGCCATAGAAATAACAAGTGATGACCATGTGATTCAGGTATGGAAGAAAACACTTCATGTCATCAGATATCAAAATAGAATCTTTCAGGTTTGAGCCATCCTTTTTCAATATCTGTCTGCCTGTTGACCTGTCCATTCCTCCCTCCCTCTCTTGATCTCTCCACACCTCCGTCTGTCTAAACTAACTACCTACATATTTTCTTTAAAACACTTACATGGTACTCGCTGTGTGCCAGGCCCAGTTCTAAGCATTTTGCACGTATTCATTTATTCCTTAATACAGTCCTATGAGCTGGGTACTATTCTACCCATTTTGCAGATAAGGTAACTTAGGATTGAATAAGTTAAGTAATTTGCCCATGGCTATGTAACTAGTTATGGTCAGAGCCAGGATTTGAACTTGGGTGCCTTGGCTCCAGAGTCTGTGTTCTGGAGTAGCTACTACATTCTGAGGTTACAGGAGCCCTAGAAAGAAGGAAGGGCCATGACTTCTACCCATATTTACAACCTAATGGGAAAACCAGAATAAACACATACAAAAATGCTTGGCAATATAGTCAACAAGTAAGGAATACACATCCTCTAGTATTGCCTGTTCATTCATCAAGTGTGTATGAAACCATTCTGGCTATCTCAAGATACATATAAAATACCCTTTGCCCTTGAGGATTGTAATGCCTAGTGAAAGCAAGAGATACACAGAAGCTTAAATTTAGTGCAACAAGTTGTTAGAAGTCTGACTGGAGTCAAGGGAGCTCTTAGAGGTGGCACCAACTCAGATGGGTAGGTAGTCAAGGAACACTTCCTAGAGGAAGAGAGGGAGTTGGAGTTAGTGATGCCACCAGGTGGGGAAGGGCATTCTGAGCAGAGAAGGCACTGGGGAAGGCTCAGGTGGGGGCATACAGACTGCTCAGCAGCATGTAATCAGGGACCAGGGAACTAGAGGGCCGACCCAGGGAGTAGGAGCCACGCTGGACATGGTGTTCCACCCTGTCAATGGAGGGCAGTGCTGTCACATGTAAGTGATGCAGTCAGGACGGGATGTAGAGCTCCATGAAGACAATGGCACAGGCCCTTCCTCTTCACCAACGCCCTGAGGGCTGATGGCCAGAGCACCTTTCCATCCTCTTCAACTCTTGAGGCTACTTGTGTGAATGGAGGCGCTGCTCCCAAGGGAACAGCTCACCAAGTGTCTGCGTCACCAGTGCCTGCCGCGATTACACAGCCAAGGGCAGGAGTGATTACAGTTGGTAAGAACATTTCCGAAGCAGCAGATGGATGTAAATTATGCCCAAAGAAATCCATCATCCAGATGCAGAAATATTCACATTTTTCTCACATTCTCTGCTGCATATCTCCTTCCACGTGGCTCCTCATTTGGTGACTGTTCTTTGAAAAGAAATTGGAGGGTGGGGAAAGGAGCTAAGAGTCGACTGAGGTAATAGCTCCATGTTCCAGGCTCCAGAGCAGTTTGGGAAAGAAAGAAACTTGTAAGTCCAGTGGCCCAGTATGAGCCCAGAGGAACCTCCCTGCATGTCTGCCCCATGCCCAATGCTGAGACGGCTGCTCTGGCCCAGAAGCATGGGTAGATTTCTTGCTGAGAATAGGCCAGAAGTGACCCCTAAACACAGCGCTGATTAATAGGGAGTGGCAATTGGAAAAGAAATGTGAGAGATTAGTTTGCTGCCTTGTAGAGAGAGAACTAATCTAAGCCACAACCTGTAGAGTTGAACTCTCACTTATTTTTATTTCTGTTTCTACTTGAGATTTTTTTAAAAGATATTTATTATTATTATTATTATTATTATTACTACTTTTGAAAAGAAATTGGAGGGTGGGGAAAGGAGCTAAGAGTCGACTGAGGTAATAGCTCCATGTTCCAGGCTCCAGAGCAGTTTGGGAAAGAAAGAAACTTGTAAGTCCAGTGGCCCAGTATGAGCCCAGAGGAACCTCCCTGCATGTCTGCCCCATGCCCAATGCTGAGACGGCTGCTCTGGCCCAGAAGCATGGGTAGATTTCTTGCTGAGAATAGGCCAGAAGTGACCCCTAAACACAGCGCTGATTAATAGGGAGTGGCAATTGGAAAAGAAATGTGAGAGATTAGTTTGCTGCCTTGTAGAGAGAGAACTAATATAAGCCACAACCTGTAGAGTTGAACTCTCACTTATTTTTATTTCTGTTTCTACTTGAGATTTTTTTAAAAGATATTTATTATTATTATTATTATTATTACTACTTTACATTCAGTCACTGAGTTTATTATTCATAGTGCAGTACATGATGAATGAGTACCAGAGTCTGGTACTGCCAGATCAGGGCTTCTGGCTCTTTTCAGGCTGAAGAGTTTCTTTCTATTGCCCTCAAGGGACAGAGATGGCAGTTGAATGAATAAATTGCTGCTTAGGAGGGAGACAGTATTGTGGGGGAAGAAGATTAGGGACAGGGGACCGTCAGCACCTGCATTAGAGGACATTCACTCTAAGCACGTCTTGCTTGATATTCCTGGGTCCCTGTAAGTGTGTTCCCACAGGACACAGCAATATGTCATGAATACCGCCTCGTGTCCCCACACCTATCTGTACCCATCTCCTGTTCACAGTATGTCAACCCAGCCTTTGAAAGGATGATGGGCTACCACAAAGGTGAGCTGCTGGGGAAAGAACTCTCAGACCTGCCCAAAAGCGATAAGAACCGGGCAGACCTGCTCGACACCATCAATACGTGCATTAAGAAGGGAAAGGTGAGTTACACCAGCAAAATAAGGCCACAGACCCCTTCCCCAGTGCATTATGGTCCTTGAGTCTTTATGTCCCATCCTTAAGACTGTCCTCTTTAATAATGTTATAATGAAGTGGAAGATCACTTATATTTGCAAAATGAGTTGATTTCTGAGTTAGCGTTGGGTCGCTGAATCTGGTGCTTATCATGACATTGAATGGATGATTCTATATAAGGACTCTTCGTCCTATGTGTGAATGTACCCTCCTGTCGCAGCTAGAATGTCATGGCTGTCTTTGAGCAGAGTTCCACCCAGAAAGCTGCTGTGTGTTTTTTCAGTTTCTCCAGTGTTTAGGGGGGACTGGAAGTATCTAATATCAGCATCTGCAGGTGGGTCCAGTTTTTTCATCAGTTTTCCTTTTCTGTTTCTTTGCTCATTGCTGTTCAGTATCCTTGTGTGGCCTCCTCCTTGCTGCATCTGTTCCTCCCGAAGCTTCCGTCTCATCCCGGTCAATAGAGGCAGTGGTAGAAATGCAGGAGGAATTTCTCCTTAAGCTCTCTCCACCAGTGGGTGCTCTTGGCTGAAACTGCCTCTGCATTTCCTTTTAAGCATTCAGAATAGTTCCTCACATAGTATTCCTTTCATCTTCCTTTTTCTGATGTAAAGTGATTAGATATGTGTTGTATTAATTGAATAGAGGGACCATTTTACAGGGATAAAATTAATTTGAATTATAGATGCTGACCAAAATCAATAATAATAATAATAAAAAGTTAGAGCAGTGAGATTGGAAAGGAAACAGGACATTGTAAAATACTCCCTCAAAAAAATGCCAAAAGAATACAGTCACACATCCGGTGACTCCATCTGGTCACAGGTAGCCACGTTTTGTGAGAGAAGGGGCAAATAATGACTTTAGAAAATCCCAGTTTCTCACTGAGCCACTCCCTCTGGAAATAGTGGCACTGGCCCTGGGTCCCTCTGTGGTCATGTGGCACTTTATTGCAGCCAAATCTTCAGGGTCCAGAGAGAGGAAGAATCTTCATGCTCTCTGTGGAAACTGTTAGGAGACTGACCAACCCTAGAGAAGCCTGGTCGGATGTTAGAAGGATGGTGGACTCCAAGGAGAGTTAAAGAGAACTGAATGTATTACCACATCTTCTGTTTCCTGTGGGCAAATAGGTTGGAATCACTGAGCCTCAGTGTACCCATCTGTAAATCAAGGATGATAATACCAAGCTCACAGGTGGTTGTGAAGATTTTGAGAGAGACCTCAGGAGAACCCCTTGACCTGAACCACAGTACTCCTAGGGCTGACAGTGAAAATTCCACCTACTGGTCAAGTGTCCTGGGACAGCCTGGCAGTGGACATGTTGATCTTGTGGTCTTGTCTTCATGCATTGTGGCCATGTCAGCATTGCTGGGGGTACAACAATGCAGCAGATTTGTGGAATGTAATGAAGGCCTGCAGGAATTGTTTTCCTCAGCCTGTAGAGACCCTCTGGAGGAGCAGCCGTATTCCTTGACCAAAGGATTTCAAGTGCTCTCTTTGTCCATGTAGGAATGGCAGGGTGTCTACTATGCCAGACGGAAATCCGGGGACAGTATCCAACAGCATGTGAAGATCACCCCAGTGATTGGCCAAGGAGGGTGAGAGCAAATTCTTCAACTCTTATAGCAGAAGATAAAGACTCAGGGCCCTGGTGGGCATTGGGTTTGGATATGGAAGGGTCAGTGTAAGCCTCAGCTCCACCAGTGCAGCAGGATTGATGTATGTAGACTATGCCAAGGGCACCTCCACCCGAAGGCAGCAACTCTCAGATGTGGTCCCCCTACCTTTTCTACTTACGGCTTTTGGTTTTCTCCTTGGCCTCTCAAGCAGCTGGGACCATAGGTGCCCACCACACCTTGCTTGTAGCATGGACCAGAAATCAAAATCGAACCCAGGACTCCTGTGTGGCCTCAGCCTGCTGAGCAGTAGTGTCTGCCAGGGTGTGCTACCACAACCAGCCTGCATACGGTCACTTATGAACCACCCAGCTCCCTTGCTGCCCACCTCCACTGGATTGTCCACAGGACCCTCATTAAACAGGCTCAATTTCTAAAGGTGTCCCTTGTCCTATAACAACATGCCCTCTGGCTCCTGCCTCAGCCCTCAGTACACATGGATCCAACCTGTGCCTTCTTGAGGCCTGGCTTTGCCTGTTCAGGCTGGCTCTTGGCTTGCTCCACAGGGTAAAAGCTCTGGATACCACTGGATGTGGAAAGAGGGGTCTCTGGCCAGGAGCTGAGGGTGTCCAATTCCATCGGCTCTCACATAACCAGCGAAGCCAATTTATTTGGGGGAGTTATAAGGAAAATATGCAGTTTTCCTTCCCTTACTTAGATTTCATGAGGAAGTTTACAAAACCACTGGAGTCCCCTATCGATGCATCACTGATGAGACTTTGCAAACCAGCCTGAACATCAACACCAGCTTCACAGTTGGAGCTTATAAGGCACACATGGCTTTTTGTGATATCTCAGAAAAAGACAACCCAGCGGTTATCTTGCCAAGAACTAGAGCAAGGACAGTCTCCCCTAGAACTCTTAGGATGACCTGAGTTGTTGCAAATTGTTGCATGATTAGAAAGTTAGACGTTGCATGAAATTGGCAAAGTGTCCGTAGGTTGTTCCCCCTCCAATTGTACTTGTCGGGCTGGTTTCACAGTTACTCTCCCGTCAGTTCAGAGAGTGCCACTCGGGATTTTGTGCTGTTGTGTAACTTGTGGCTCCCTTTTTGCTTCACTCTGGATGGTGGGGCTCTGGTAAACCCTGACTGAGGGCGATGAGCTGGGGAAAGAGGCTGCCCACAGGCCTTTTCCCTGAGTTGCACCAGCCTCCATGTGGCCATTGCCATCGGGGTTAGGGCTCAGAGCCACAGGATGAAGGTAATGCCCGTGGCTGCCATGCTGTTTCACCATCATCCTTGGACCATCCTCCCAGAGAACTGAAGCTCAGAATCACTTTGTGTGTGTGTGACCAGCACCATTAAGTAATCAAAGCAGAGGAGATGTACACTATTGCCTGGTCATTTCTATCAGAATTAATTTTCTGGGCTTTCTGGTTTTACAGATAAGAGAACGAAGTTCTTTTATTCAGACAGTTTCCAGTGTTATTTTTCCCCAATTTATAGGCAGTGAGCTCTCAAAGGTAATTTTTATTGAAAGTAGGGAAATTTTATTTCTCTTATTCAAGTGAAGCTTGTTACAGAATAGCCAGTATTTTCCTTTTATAAAGAATCATTTATTTAATTTTATTATTGTCATTTTTCAGCTTGATTAGAGAGAGAGAGAGAGAGAGACAGAGAGGGAAAATGAGAAAGCAAGCTGCCAGGTCCAGGACTTGAACCATCGTTAGCCATGTGGGAGTCCAGTGCCTCAATCACCGGCCACCTGTTGGCCCTAGCCAGTATTTTTTCTGGGTTCTTCAGAGTGGTCCAGAGAAAAGTGAACCAGAAACAGATACAGAGAGAAAGAGAAAGTCAAGGCTCTAACAGCTTTTGGAGCATAAAGTATAACAATAACTCTCTGGATTTCATGGTTTTATAGTCAGTGGAAAATCTACCTTGAGCTGATTTGAACACCAGGCTGAGGCACTTGTAATCTTTTGCCTGCTTCTCTTTGTCATAATGAACAAGACCAAGGAGCAGGGGCGCCTCAGGATCCTGTCCACAACCTTGAAATAAGAGGATTTTTCTCTGCCTGAAAAATGCCATTATTATGACAACCATAGTGTAAAAGAACATCGGATGTTTAATATAAAAACAGCAACCACGAAATTTGGCCATTGTCCCAATGAATCTTTCGCTTTTTGCAGAGGCTATCAAACTGTAAGTGTCAGCAGAATTCAAACCAATTTATCTGTAGCAGGATTGCATCCCAGGAGCCAAACTTCAGGCCTCGGCTACAGATGAAATACCCATTAGGAAAGTGTGTCAGAGCCAGCGCTGTTATAAGGGAGGCCCAGTTTCTGAAGGCATGTGTAGGCTCTGTGTGAAAATGTGTTTTCTGTAGATTGGGTTTCACTTGAAGTTTAAATCTGCCCTAGGGCGGACCCCAGAGTTTTGTGTTAAGAAGGCTCTGTTGATGTTTTCCTTTGCTAATTTGTTGAATCATCTCATATCTGACTCACTAATAACTGATTATTTATGTTATTAGGAAAATTAGGCATTTTGTCTCCCTCAAGAAACTGTGTTGTACCACTGACAATAATAAGGTACAGTATTCGGCTCACTCCATTGCTTTGTCAGTTTGACCATGTGTTACATTCTCACCTCTGTTCTCTGCTTGTCTTTCCCTGTATCTTCTTGTGCTTGCCAATTAAGAAGGTTTGTGGGAGAAGTGAGCTCCTCTGACAACTTTTTTAAATTCCCCAGAAAGCCTGTATCACTCTATTAGTAATGCACATCAGTGAAGATTTAGCTTGTGGCTGAGAGACTCCCTAGGCTAGTATGTTTTATGACAGCATAAAAGTCTTCCTCCAAATAAAAAATGTGCTGGTTTTTCTATCTTAATTTTCTTTTTAAAGAATTATTCTTTTTTACTTTATTTATTTATTTATTTATTTATTTTCATTTTGACTCGGGGGTGGGGAGTGGTGAGAAAGCAAGCTGCCAGGTCCAGGACTTGAACTCCAGTCCACCATGTGGGAGTCCAGCACCCTTAACCACCACAGCACCTGCCTGTCCCGCTATCTTAATTTCTTAAACAAATAAAAGTGTATGTTCACTTGAGCATTTCAACCCTACGAATTCATATCAAAAACAAGAATCATTCCAAATTAGTAGTGTGAATTTTTTTCTTCCCATTAGATCATGCAAAACAACACATTTGAAAGTTGTCTTCTAATAGAATTTTAATAAGTTTCTATAGTTAAGAACTCTCTGAGGTAGTATAATAAAGAGCAACATTGTAATAGGTATTTTTTCTATTCAGTTTATACTTTTACTATTAATGTATTTTATGTCATGCTTTGTCATTTCTTGATCAAAAAGCACGCAGCAAACGTAACTACCAATGATCCATCTTTGAAAACTTGCAAACCATGGCCTTTGATTTGGATGTAGGTTTCATAAGTAGGGACAGGTCTTTAAGGGCTTCTGAGGTATAATCCATTTCAGCCAGGCATGGCAGACAGGTGAGGTGGAGGCTGAGGAGAAGCCTGGCCAGGCAAGGAGATCCATGGGAGAATATTAAGAGCATGGCCCCTGAAGGGAAAGTGGGGTGAGTGGGTGAGCCTGTGATGGGCTTCAGGCAGCTGTCCCAGGACATCTGCAGTACCCATGTCTGTGTGCGTTTTCATAGGCATTCATCAGGAACCAGGACATGTTCATTAATACCATGAAGTCACCGGAGAGGCAAGTCCTTGGAGTCGGAGATCCATGGGAGAATATTAAGAGCATGGCCCCTGAAGGGAAAGTGGGGTGAGTGGGTGAGCCTGTGATGGGCTTCAGGCAGCTGTCCCAGGACATCTGCAGTACCCATGTCTGTGTGCGTTTTCATAGGCATTCATCAGGAACCAGGACATGTTCATTAATACCATGAAGTCACCGGAGAGGCAAGTCCTTGGAGTCTGCCTCTTGGGAGAGAAAGAATGGACTATCGTAGGAAAATGCTGTCTTCCAACAGCCAGCTGAGACATAGCAGGAGGAAGAATGACGTCTGTGTGAGAGGTGACACAGGCAGAGGGCGAGGCCGGGCAATCCTGGTATCTCTTTTGAGACAAATTCTGAACACAGCAGGGCAAACCGGCTTTTCTGGGCTGGGGATCTGCAGGAGAGGACATGGCCCACTTGGACTCAGTCATTCTCATCCCAGAAAGTAAGCAAGCCCAGCTCACGGCCACATCGAGCACACCCTTCTCACTTCAGCCTTGCTGCTCTTCCTCCGTTGTTCACTTAATGAACAGACCCCGTTCGTCTCCCTGTACCTCTGCATGCCCAAAGTCTGCCTGTCCTTGGTCCAGCCAGGAAGCACCCTCCTCCTCAAGGCCCCCAAATCACCTTCTTTGCTTTGTGTCAAATACACCCCCACCATTATAGCTATTTTCGTGCTAAGCTACCCTCTCCTCTCTAGCAGGGTTTCTGGTCTGTGCTTGTCTGTGTGCCCACCCTGCTTGGCACACAGTAGGCCTTCCAGCCGTTGGTTAGCTTGAATGAAATGAAATGCTCCAAGGACTTGCCTCTTGGGAGAGAAAGAATGGACTATCGTAGGAAAATGCTGTCTTCCAACAGCCAGCTGAGACATAGCAGGAGGAAGAATGACGTCTGTGTGAGAGGTGACACAGGCAGAGGGCGAGGCCGGGCAATCCTGGTATCTCTTTTGAGACAAATTCTGAACACAGCAGGGCAAACCGGCTTTTCTGGGCTGGGGATCTGCAGGAGAGGACATGGCCCACTTGGACTCAGTCATTCTCATCCCAGAAAGTAAGCAAGCCCAGCTCACGGCCACATCGAGCACACCCTTCTCACTTCAGCCTTGCTGCTCTTCCTCCGTTGTTCACTTAATGAACAGACCCCGTTCGTCTCCCTGTACCTCTGCATGCCCAAAGTCTGCCTGTCCTTGGTCCAGCCAGGAAGCACCCTCCTCCTCAAGGCCCCCAAATCACCTTCTTTGCTTTGTGTCAAATACACCCCCACCATTATAGCTATTTTCGTGCTAAGCTACCCTCTCCTCTCTAGCAGGGTTTCTGGTCTGTGCTTGTCTGTGTGCCCACCCTGCTTGGCACACAGTAGGCCTTCCAGCCGTTGGTTAGCTTGAATGAAATTAAATGTCTCCGTCCTGGCTTGCTGCCTGCTCTGAATTCTTCCTACCTTGCTGGCCACAGGGGCAAGCTCGTAGCACAGGCTTTCAGGATGCAGGAGCACGGGGCTACCTCTTCTCTTCTGAGGCTCTAAATAGAAGCACCTCACTGCCTGCCATGAATTAGCACTGTTCTGAGAACAGAGCTAGAACACCCGAGCCATTGACGTCACCTAATGGTGCTGCACAGGCCTAGGGAGACACTTAGACTTTCCAGTAACAGCCTTTGCACTTCCCCAGCTAGCTGTAGTCTTGTTCCTCCTCGGTGAAGGAGGAAGAAATGAGTGGTGATGGGGGCAGGGGCGGGGGGGTTGGGGAGAGGTTGTTACCCTCTCCCCCCCACCCCAGGAAGCAGCCTATCTGCAGGTGGTTCTGGTGACACTGCTTTCTGGACTCTAGCCCTGATGCCAAAATTAGTCTGTGGGTTTGCATGTTAACAAGGAGTGGAGCTGTGAGCCAGGCTGCTGTCTTCTGGTGGCGCTTGTCAGCCACAGAGCTCTTGTTTCCCGAGTGAACACAGCAGCCTTTTGCTAAGAGGCTGGAAATGCGCACTGAGGACTGTCTGCTGTGAAGATCTTCTCTTCCACACACACATCTGTCTCCTCCCCGAACATGGATTAACCCCTGCTCCGTGCTGGCACCAGGGGCGCACTCCACCTCTGCCTCAGAAGCCGTGAGGCCACAGCGAGGTCAGCAGGACAAAAAGCACCCACGCAGGGAAGAGCAGACTGAGCACAGGAGATGCACGACACCAGCTCTCAAGGTGGCTGTCTAGGGCTTGTTTCGAGATGATCTAGGACAGGGTTCAAAAGACTGCAGCCTTGGGAACCAGCAGTTAGCGTAATGGCTATGTCGCTGGACTCCCACGTAGTTGACCGCGGTTCGTGTCCCGGACCCGGTGGCTTAAAACTCACGCCGGGCGCATGTGCATGCGTGCCCAAGATCCCAAGAGGAGAATGGAGGAGAAGGGATTGCGGCGTGACCATCCCCCCTGGGGGGTGATTTCTCGCTTGCTGTCTCTATGTCTCTCTCTGTCTGTCTGGCGAGCGCACGCGCCCTACAGTGAAAATCTCTCCAAAAAAAAAAAAAAAAAGACTGCAGCCTACAGCCCACATGGGACCTGGGTCATCAGTCAAGTTCTACTGGGACATTGCCTCTCTCGTGCGCATGGGGCCTGTGGCCTTATCACCCTACACGGCAGTGCTGAATAGTTACAGCAGGGCCTTGGCCTACGGAGCCTAAAATAGTTACCCTCTGGCCCTTTACAGAAAAACATGTGCCAACCAACCCCATTTCTAGAAGATAAACTTCTTTCTTAGGTGCACAGTCTGCCCCGGGCCCCCAGGTGCCCCCGCTCTCCTTTGGGCTCCTTTGCCTTGGTGCTACCCCTGTGTCCTGTCTCAGAGCCCACCTCGGCTGCTGCAGTGAGTGAGGGCATGAGGACCTAGGCACCCTGAGACTTTGGCCTTCTACCGAGGGCAAAACCCAACTCCAAACACATGACTCAAACCGTGGGATTTTTAGGAAGCTACAGCCATGGTCCGAGAGTCAGACTCGTGTAG